TCTAGCCCTCTAAGAAAGGGCTTGACTCCCTAGTGTACTCTGGGACTTCCCTGATTAGCTGCAGTGTGGTCTGCAACCCCAGGACATATACCTACAAGAGAGAGCAGCCTCCTGAGGACAGTGACATCATTCATGCCCCCTACACTAACACCCTAGTTGCATCACTGACAAGAGTCTCCTCCAGAGGTGGTTTCCCAAATCAAGTCCTCGAACCTGTTTAAACACATATGTGCACAAATACACAAACCAGAATCTTAAAAGGGTGTAGCTGACACACAGATGAGTCAAACCATGTCCAGGCAATTCTCAACTGGCCCATGGGAGGCAAGTCTTCCCACCTACCCAATGAGGAAGCCTGGCCTAAGCTCCACTGCAACACTGTCTCATACCACACGAAAGGGTGTATCTATGTAATATCACAGTAGCCAATAATAAACTCAGCCAGGATGGGATCTTGGGGACCAGAGGAGACAGGCTTAAACATTGTGCCCAGGGATCCTCAGCAGAATTTGGCTGCACAATATATGATGAGCAGGGCACCAAGATGCTCCTTACATACTCATCATCCCAGATGACTAGGTTACTATCTGTGGCAAGGCCACTTAAGAATAGAGTACCAATGTCATTCCACACTGAAAACCAAACCCTCTCTCCCTCTCAGTATTACCTGAACTGATGGGGAAACTTCCTATGAACAAGCAGCTCAGGCAATTAGATACAGAAATTAAAAATTTCAGTTCACTAATAACTCAAGAAATACATATTAACACAAGGGAATGCCATTTCACTTAAACAATGAAGAAGGAACGAGAAAATGCCCACTGATGGAAGGAGAAAGAAAGAGGGGGATGGGAAAAATGATGCATAATATCAAGCAGCACATGTCAACTAGTAGAAGAGACTTCCTTGAAGAACGTTTAACAATATGTACTCAAACCCTTAAAAAAGTGCACACTGGGCTCAAGATGCAGCTCAGGGCTGAGCACACGCCTAGACTGCAAGAAGCATTTGGTTTGATTCCTAGCACTGAAAAAAAGAGTGCTTCCATGTAAATTTACTTTTACTAATTTGTCCCACACAAGTAATTAGAGTTCTGTAGCAATTTAACAGAACGATTCTTCATATATCCCGTATATGTATATGTTATATAAATTTGTATATAAAACTTAATTGCTATTCACAGGACTGTTTATTATTGGAAAATTGTAAAAATCTAAAAAAAAATTCATTTAATTATAGCTTAAAAATGAGAAACAATACTATGGATTTTTAATACTGTCTTTTCAGAATATAAATGATATGACATTTGCAACGTAGTGCTAAGTTGGAGGTGGAAGGCAGGTGTGAAAATATATGCCTATATGATCCTAATTCTATAAACAATAGTGTGATATGGGATAAACATACACATAACAGATTGGAAGACTATAAGGTAACATTTAACAGTCACTCACCTACCTTGGGACAGGAGGATTATCAGTGGTGTGGACCTGTCTTTACCTGTCTTTATACCCCAACATTCTTTATACAAAGAGGCACAAGAAGGACGAAAGCCTTCAGTGTTATTCTCCCAGATATGGACACTTGGAGCTTAGTGTGGGCTCAGCAGAGTTAGCAATTTGTCATAGGACTCTGGCACAAGCATCAAGACAAGTGCCTAATATGAGCAGAGAATGGGTTGGACAGATGGAGCTTGGCTCAGTGGTAGGCATCATCATAATGGGAGAAAGAACAGCCTACCATGTAGGGACTAAGGCCTTGAGACATGGAAAGGAACCTGGGGCCATAACTCATTTGACTGTGGGACAGAATTTTCAGAGATGGGATGATCTACAGTCCTTCAAGTTTTTAAGTATAAGCAAAGACTGGTGGGACTGATGATGCTGATAGAGTAAAAGGCCTTACTGAGTTTATAGCAGCAATGTTTCTTATCATCTCCAACTTATCTATCACTGCCCCCATTGGATTCCTCCTCACCCCTGTACCAGTCTTCCTGCTATTCTTCAAGATGGCCTAAGCAGTTGAGCTCCTTCTCTCATCCTGAAATATCTTCCCTTAATCAGCACAGCCTCTGCTCTCATGACTGTAGACCTTACGGGAAAAGCAAAAGTCAAAGGGAAAAGGGAAAACCAGGCGGAACCAGGCAATCAGAAGTGCATATGGCCATTTAGAGAAAGAATAGATGAATTAATGGAATTAAGGATATTTGGGAAAGCATAAAGGGTAAGGGAGAAAGCACCAAGGAGTGACCCTCAATCTTGCCCAGGAACTGACCAATTATGATAAATGACAATAATTCCAAGAGGATCTGAGGTAGTTTTCAGACTGTGTATCTTTAAGTGCCACAGGATCCTGGTCCACAGTTCTAAGCTCTCTAGACCATGGGTACTGTATGCTTTTCAGTGTGCGCCCACATTCATTGCCACATTTCATCTTGGAAGGTAAATGGATCAGGTATGGTAGATGAACAATATCCCCTAAGGTTGTAGGTGGCAGAACCTTGGTGGACTCAGCTCCCTAGCTGTCATCTCCTTACAAGCAAACTTGTGGTGCTATGGTGATGTTGAGGTTGTGTGAAGTGTTCACCTTCATGAAGTTCTGCTTCCTGGATTGTGTGTGACAAGAGCTGCTCCCAGCAGACAGACTTGATTGTAACATGTATTAACTACAAAAAAGGGAGAAGGAAAAGTATACACTGAAGGAAAAGCTATATGGACCCTCTGGACAAGCAGTAAGTCAGGTTCTATAACAGAAGCAGAAGATGGGGCATTCCTGATAGCTGGTCCTGCAGGAAGCCAGGTCCATGTAGCCCTTCCAAGAATTCCAAATTCAACCAAAACTCTGGTTCTGCCACTTGCCTCCAGGGGAGCACTTAAAGTTTACCCTATGTAAGGTAGAGAGGACACCTCTGTACTGAATAGAGCTGGAGAAGACTGGTGGGCTAACAATCCTGGAAAAGGCAAAGGCAGATCCCTATTTCCCAGTCCCCCAAGCAGCCTACACAGGGCCATAGCCCAGAAATGCCTTCAGGATAAAGCTAAGTGCTGGGGCATTTCCTCCAGATCTCTCACAGCCTTGCTGTGTGTTTGATAAGGCACAGAGCTGCCACAAGGCTACTAAGCAGAGTATTTAATATGAGACAATTCATACTCAAAATGACATTATAAGCAGTCAATAGAGAGAATCATTGTGATGAATGGTTCTGTACCTTGACTATGTTGGTAATCCCACAACTGCACTGACCTGTACGCACACACACACACACACACACACACACACCCTAGTGCACAGTACCCAGGGTAAGATCCATAGTCTGGATCCTACAAATGTGACATGGTGCCAGTGAAACTACACCATGTGGGAGGATGGGTAAAGTACCCTCAGATCTCTGTACTCTTTGCTGGTGAATCTACAATGATTTCAAACAAAAGTTAAAATTTAAATACCACCCTGTTTAGTGGCCTTCATATGGAGCTTAAAGAGACCATACAATTACTTTAACCTCTCACTTGTACCTGTGGTTTCTTTATAGCCCTTAGCTGGGGCACTGGATTTGGGGACTTAGGGACAGAGGGAATGGATGTGGGGCCAGGGTTAAGGGATTAGCATTTGGGGAAAGGGCAAGATTTTATTAGAAATAAGAGATTTAAAAAAAAACTGTGCCCTTCCCAAATAGGAAGGAAATCCTGCAACTCACAGCAGTGGTCCCTTCACACCACCCTGAGCCATTGCTTAGAACACGGCCCTCTCAGTGGATTCCCAGAGCGAAATCGTGCTATGAGGCTGCCCAGGAGCCAAGGAAGAGACTTGCCTCACCAGTGACAGAGTGGAAACACTGGCTCTGCACCCTAGGTGACTGAGTGCCAATCTTGGGGTGAAGGCTGACCCCTTTCCCATCCTGGCAGCTCCCCCTTGCTTTGCAGGGCACAGAATACACCAGAAAGGGAGTGGAGGCCCCTAGGCTCCCAGTCAGTAGTCCACACAAGGCACCCACAGAATCAACCTCTACCCCATTCCTGTCTCCACCACCGCCCCCACCTGCGACTCATTGCAGCGCCTCCTGCGCCCAAGGAGCCCACCACGGTGGCCCTCCCAGACAAAAGAGTCTGCAAAAGAGCCACCCCCGCAAAAAGCAGAAGCGCCAGATCCTATCAGCCAATTATCCAGACATGCACAGCAACACGCAAGTTCAGGCACGCTCATGCAGGCAGCAGGAGGAGCCCCAGCAAGTCCATGGGGCGTCTGGTACGTCCAGCAGCTGGTCTCAGCCTGGGAGGTGGGGGAGGAGCCATCAGAGGAGGGTGCCTGGGCTAGGGGTACCCCTGAGGCTTGGGGGATCTGAACGGGGTGCTGCACTGGTGAGGTGCCTGGGTAGGGAGCGCCGTGGGGGAAGAGGACTGGAGTAAACCAGGGCCTCGGTCAGGGGCGCGCCCGGGGCCTGGGATCTGGTACTTTGCGCTGGGTTGGGGGCTGGGGACCAGTTTGGGGCCCTGCTCCGGTAGCAGAAGGCCAATCTCCTTCTTACGGGTAATAATAAGACTTCACAACCAAAGAGGCGACGCAGCTAGGGCCCATCTCCAGACCGGGCCTCCATAATCCCCTCCATGGCCCGGAATTCAAGCAGCATTCAGCCCCCAATTCGCCCCGGAAACGCCGCCCTCCCCTCTATCATGCAGTGCGCCCGGGTCGCCGGTCGATTGGGGAACAAAAGAGCAGCTCTCAGGGAGCAGGTTCTGAGCCAGCGCGGACTGTCTGGTGACCAAAGGCCCCGACAGGACTCCCGGGTATGCTGGCCTTTGTGTCCGCCCAAGGGGCGGGAGAATGTCTGGGACCCCGCGTGCACATCCCAAGGACCCCAGCAGCAGCTTGCAGAGCCAGAACTGGAAAGTTGTCGCCGGCGCTGGCTGCTTCCCACACCGCTCATTACCCGCTGGGCACCCAATTCCTTTGCCAGGGAAGGAGGTGCAGCCCGCCAGGGCGGGCCTCGAGGGGGAGCTTACTTTGCTCTTGACTTCCACCGCGCCGCAGTCATAGAAGCGCAGGGTCTGAGACTTATGAAAACTCCGGTTCATGGTTTCGGCCCCTTTCTGCCTCACCTTCGCCCTGGCTGCTCAGGGACCGTGGAAAGGACCTGGAGGGGGACGTCCCCCGCTGCTCTGCCCGGCTCCGGCCCGCAGTTGTTCCGACTAGGGTCTGCTTGCTATGCTGCGGGCCGGAGCTGGGCTGACCTCGCGCCTCTGGAACTCCAGGGGTGGCGCAGGGGGAGCGCGGTGGACGCTTACGCTCACCCTGGGCCCCGCCTTCCGCTGCCTTAAGCCACACCTCCTCACGCCCCTTCCGTGCCCCTCCTCCTTAGGACCGGCCCCTGGAGGTCCGGCCCCTGGAGGACCCGCCCGCCAACGACCCGGGGCGCTAGAACGGAGATCCTGGGGCTCTGAACCCAGAGCCTGGGGAAAAAAAAAAAAAAGCATCGTTGATCTACCCAGAGTTCGTGATTTGTTCTCCCGCTGGGAATTTGGGACGACTTTTGCTATCTTCTTCGGTAGTTATTTAGAAGAATGGTAACGAGAACCACTGGAAGTCTGGTCTCATTGGGCGTCACCTGCCCACACTGTCACATCTTAGTCTACCAGAGAGACCTGCAGAGATGTGAATTCCT